GCGCAGGGCTGAACCCGAGCGGGCGCCTCTGGCGGCTTGGGGCCGGGGCGGGCTTTTAGTGGGCCGCTCCAACAATACGGGCCTGGCGCGGAGAAAGGGGCTCGGCTGCAATTGGTACTGGATTTGAATAACGCCACGGGGCCATCAATGGTCATTGTGTCGGCTGGTAATGAATCTCCGCTGTCTCTCGGGCTGGCCAGGCAGCTGCAACCTGCGCTCAGGCAGCTCTTAAAGACATAGCGTGCCCCTCCCCGGGGGCGCCCCCCCTCTGCACCGGCCAGACCCCTTACCCTCCCACTCCTACCCTGTGTCCTAGACTCCCGGTGCCCCGCCTGCTCCCTCCGCTGAACCCTTGGCCCATGGCCCCCTCCTTCCTCCTGGACCAGGCACCCGCATCTCGGCTCTGCGCTCCCATGGACCTGACTCAGGCCCCTGGCCTTGGCTGAGCTCCCCTAGAGTGCCCAGGGGACTCTAGAGTCTTTCGAGGCCCAACCCTGGCCTCCTATCTGCATCTAAACTGAGGCCTCTGGAGCCCTCATTCCTTAAGCTCTTGCCCCAGGGGCTTCTAGCTGGAGGGTGAGGGGGAACAGTCTGGAGGTCAGAGGGTCACCCCCTTAAAAGGCTCTGCTGAAGCATAAGGGAGGGGATGTAGCCCTGAGCCCCAGGCTGAAGATGCCACCTCCAGTGACCACACCCCCACTGGGGATCTGCAGACTGAGGTACCAAGAGCAAGGGGTTGATTTCCCAGGACGCTTCCGGCAGGTCCTGGATACCTCAGCTCTAGCAGGGTGTGTGAGGGGGAGGAGGGAGGGAGAGGGGCGTGGAATGGAGTAATGCTGTCTTGTCTCTTCCACTGGACAGCTCACCGGTCCAGGAGGGCAGAGGCTCTGTCTAGTTCTGAGGCGTCCCCCACCCTCACCCCTGCCAGGTCTGGCACAGAGAAGGTTCTGTCTGCTGGGAAATCCATACCGATTTCTCTCCCACAGAGCTCAGCCTAGCTTTCCCAGCGAATCTCATACCCTGGTGGTGAGCGCGTGGCCATTCTTCCCATGCCTCCTGCCCTCCATGCGCCACAGGGTTCCCCAGGCCCCCAAAGTACCTCTTGCCCTTCTATCCTCTCTTCTCACAGTCTGTGGGGCCACCTCACGACGTGCCCCGCTGAACTGTGGTTACCAGGTATCTACTCTCATCACTTGGATAGGAAGTGGGTCCTACTGATCTTTATGCCTCCAAGGCCTAGTACACGGCCCTATCACCAAGCAATCCTTGAATATTCATTGGTGACTTAAAAATGTACCACATAAACTTGAGTGTTTCTTTGCAAAGTTGAAGAAATATGGCTTCTGAGGAGTAAATACTTCAAATGGGGGTTCATAGAGACAGAGCCCTGCTAATCCAGCTCCATCAGATAACATCATTAACCACTATGAGTGCTTTCTGTGCGAGCACTGTGCACTTCGAAGGTGGTAGTAGCCTGTTGACGTCTCACAGCCTTGGGAAGTAGATACTATTATCGGCCCCATTTTACAGAAGAAACTGAAATTGGTGGCAGTTAAGTCTCTAGTTCACAGCCGACATGTGATGGAACAGAGAGTTGGAACCCAGGGCTGTAGAACCCGCTGCTCAGTAGTTTCCAGCCATTACTTCACAGATATGCAGGAGACCAACGTAATCGCAGTCAAAACGTGAGGCCCAGGAGAACACCCCGTGTCTCCTTATAAGTCAGAATCCAGCCCTGGCCCCACCCCAGCCTGGCGGGAACACAGCCCCGATGGAAGGGTCTCTGCACTAGCGGAGAGCTCTCAGGCCGCTTCAGGCAGCTACGACCTTGAAGGAGGGCTGGTCAGCCTCCAGGGAATGTCAAGGCTCTCAAAAGCCACCAGTCCTGGGCAGAAAAGGGCTAATTCACCTTACCCTCACCCTCAAGGAAACCGAGGGGCCAAGAAGGAGTCCTACCACCAGTCATCGAACAGATATTTATAGAATGCCTACTGTGTGCTAGTCAGGGACTCTGCAGTGGGCAGATGACCCCAAAGGAGATGCACAGGGGGCGGAGGGGTGAGCTGCCCTGGTCAGTGGGGAAGTTAGGCGAAGATGGGTGGGATGCTGATGCTGGCACTGTTTCAGGCAGAAGGAACAACATACTCCAAAGCTAACAAGCAAAAAAGAAGTTGGCGAGTTCCGGAAAGGAAAAATCTGGCATGACTGGGGCACGAGAGGAAGAGGAAGTGCGAGATAAAGCTGAGGCGACCCTGCTTGGCCCTATAGGACACTGGGAGTATTTGTGATTTTATCCTAACCACAGTGGGGATCCTGAAAGGTCTGCCAAGTTCAGATTTACATTTTTAAAGGTTTGCCGGGGCAGAGCAATGTAGGGAATAGAGGAGGGGGAAATGGGGGATGGGAGGAGAGCCGCGAGCTGGACCACAGGAGACCAATTAGGTTACCGCTGGTTTGCAGGTGAGAGCTGATGGTGGCTTGGGCTTAGGTGATGGCAGAGAAGGGTTTCAAACTGTGTTCTTGACAGTCCTGGTGTCCTTAAGCAGGTCATTTAGCAATGAGTAACATTTAGTGAGCACCTGAGGGGTACTGTGTGCATGCCGGAGGCTGTGGGGAGCGGGGAGAGAAAGATGAACCAAATCTGATAATACCTCTCCAGAAGTATCCATCTTGTGGGCAAGTGGACAGACATACAAATACCCAGCCAGCACCAATGGAAGAAGCAGAGCCACAGGAAGTATTAGCACAGTTCTCTGGGGTTATAGAAGACGAACGACTGGCAGACTGGGAAAACTTCTGGAAGAGACAGTATTGCCTTGGGCTTTCAGGGCAAATGAATTCCAATAGACCGAACCTTAGCTATTCTGTGAAATGGGGCCACTATGCCTGTCCCGCCTCCCTAGAGATGGTTGTGGTATTGGGGGAGGATCCAGTACCTTGTATTTATTTGCAGTTAAGTCGTTTGGTTATCTAATACACACATACAGGACACATGTTCCGGCTCATGCATGCATTCAGCTGTTCCTAGCCTCTGCTCTCTCCCTTCTCCCTTATTAAGTCTCAGGAAGAAGGTAGCAAAGCCATCCACACTGCCAGTTAAGCATGCCTTCCCCCAGGACTGGCATTTGACCAAATACTGTGTATAGTGCAAAGGAGATGCTCAGTAAATGTCTGTCAAATGAACAAATGAATGAGTGAATGCATACTTTATTGGAGTAATAATTAAAAGAATGGTGGGTGGACAGACAGGTGAAAAAACATGTTGAGACACTTGAATGAAAGATGAATGAATAGAGTTGACTGGGTGCATGGATGCAGCCAATCAGCTGAGGTTCTAGATGTGGACCTGGAGGCATTGCTGTGGGTGGGGCTCATTGAAGGAGGCCAGAAGGGGGTTTCCTTCATGCTGTGACCCTTCAGAGACAGATCCGAGGCCCGGGGCATGGCAGACAGTTGCCCAGGGAGCAGTTGAGGCAAAAGGTCGATCACGCTGCACCTCTGTGCTGGAGTCCTGTTCCCAAATGTTCCCATCAGTCCAAGTTTCACTGACGCCTGGCCGCGAAGCTTGGGATAGAGGAAGGGGCTCTGCCACTAGTCAGTGTGCCTCAACGGCTTCATCCCATCATGCTGTGCTGCTGTCTTCATCACACATATCACTCTCTGAAAGCCTCTGATTGATCAGCTGTCTTGTCTCTCCACTTGACTGTCAGCCCTATGTGGACGAGGGTCATGCCCTGTTTATTGCCCTATCTCCAGCACCTAGAACAGCGCCTAACCCTTAGAAGGTGCTAACTTTTATTAAATGCCCGGGTATTGACTGGCAAATGCGTGGATCATTGTAACCTAGTTCACAATGCTGTATATTAAGCACTGGGGACTGGGCACCGGGCTTGCACTTCTCATGGATCACAACAGCTTTGGGACAGACGCCATTATCCTTCCGATTTTGCTGACCCAGGACCTGAGGCTCAGAGAGAGGAAGTGACTTCCCCCAGGTACAGAGCTACTGAGTGACAGCCAGGTTTTAGCAGCAAAGGCTGTGTCCTTAACCATGATCTGACACCTTTTACTCTATTACCCCAGCACCCAGTGAGGTCGGAGTCATTGGCAGTTAAGAGTTGGGACTCAGACATATTGTCTGATTCCATTTATAGAAATATCCAAAAATAGGAAAATCTATAGAGACAAAAAGCAGATTAGTGGTTGCCTAGGGCTGGAGGGAGGGGAAGTGTTGGGGGGGGAATGAGGAGTGAAGGCTAATGAGTACAGCTTCTTTTTGGGGTGATAAAAATGTTCTAAAATTGACTGTAATAATGATTGCACAATTAGGTGAATACACTAAAAGCCATTAAATTGTACATTTTAAGTGAGCAAATTGTATGGCATGTGAATTACATCTCAAAAAAGCTGCTATTAAGAAAGAGTCAGGGCTTGAGCATCTCACCGCTTACTTGTTGGGCAGGTCAATTCACATCTCTGAGCATCAGCTTCCTAACCAGTGAAATGGGAAAAATAAACATCTCATTGGGTTACTGCGAGCATTAAATGAGATAATACATGCCATTATCCTCATTTTATCACGGGGGAAAAACTTAGGCCCAGGGAAAAACTATGACCCTTTAGCCCAGAATGCACAACTGGTAGGTGACGGGTAAGGGTCCGAGGCCTGGGTCTCTTGGCACCGCTGCTTCTTTTAGCATTTTGTAGACTGGATCGGCGTCTGTGTATCCACCACCCCTGCATCACCACCACTGCCGTGTTCCATCCTCCACCTTCTCCTGGGCTCTGAGGCCCTGTCTCCCCACTGCCCATGACCAGGCACACAGAGGTATGGAGGTTCCCCCAGAGCACAAGACGCCCTCGCCCCGGCCCCCACCCTGTTCCCCTCCTGGGGCCATGATACTGTCTTGCTTTTGCTTGTAATAAAGAAAATATCTCAGCTACCCTTCCACAGTTGCTTGGCAACCCCAAAGCGGGGGAAGAGCAGAGGGGAGGAGGGTAGGGGGAGGACTCTGGAGCCAATCTGGAGACAAAGAGTAGGATTTGGGTGACATGGAGCCTGTTCTTAGTGCTAACCTGGCCTGGCTGGGGCAGCGGGTGGGGGCGGGGGGCTTCCTCCCAGCCCAGTGTCTCACACCAATAAATATGGATTAGGGAAATGGGCAGAGTTTTTCCCACGGGCCTGAAAAGCCACATCTGACCTTTCTACCCTCTTTATGTACCAACGTGACAGTCAGAGAGAGCAAAGAGCAGGACCCCCTGAGTTGCCTCCCCCATGGCCTTCTGACTTGGGGAAACTTTTCACCCTCCTTCCCCTGGCCCCTGGCCCAAGGATGAGGAGAAGGTCGTTTTCAGGTGGGAGTCAGGAGCCCCCTGCTGCAGGGTCCACGGCAGGCCCTGCCTACCTCGATGGCACAGAACCAGGCCCGAGGCCCTGGGTCAGCCTGGAAAGGCGCTCCCTGCCTCCTGTGCCAGCCTGTGCCCGGTGGCGCCCCAGTCCGTGGCTCATCTCCCCACCCCACCTCTGCCTGGGATCTCCATCGTTCGGGGCCCTGTTCTCCACCAGCCCCTTCCACATGCCACTGCCTCTTCTCTTTCCTGACCTCCCTTCATGTTCTTTTCCCACCACACTCTCCATTCGGTTTTCCTCTTCCCTTCCTCTCCACTGGGCAGGTCCGCCGCAATCCCCCTACTTCTGCAGTCCCCCCTGAAAACTAGGAACTCTTTGAGGCTGACGGTCCCCAGGATGAAGGTGGCAGGAGGGGGTTTGCAAGGAGGGAGGGTGGGGGTGGTGATCTCTCGCCCTGGTGTCCTGGCTCGCTGGCCGGGGGTGGAGAAAAGCCGCTCTGAAAGGAGTCAGTGTAGAGACAGGAAAAGCAAACACCGCAGCCTGGGCCACGCTGGCCCACTGGGGGGGCCGTGATCTGGCGGGGCCCTGCGCTCATCTCAGCCTCCCCCGATCAACCCTCTCCCACCCCTGAGGGCCATGGCTTCCTGGACCTTGGCCCACAGTGTCCAGAAAGGGAGTGGGTCGAGGGGCTGGGGACATGCCCTGTAGGAGACACCTCGCCCTTTCCCAGGAATCTCTCTCCGCCCTACTGCCCCACCCCCAGCCTGTTGCCCACAAGATGCCAAGAAAATCTAAGGGCTGCCCGACCAGCCCTTCGCAGCAGCAAGAACTGGGTGAGGAAGTCACCTTTTGTCAGAGACAGCCCCGGCAGTGCCATCCGCCCCCTGGGCCGAGGGGGACCCCGAGGTGCTCTGCCCAGGTGAGTGCTACTCTGGCCCCGCAGCCAGGCAGTGAGGGAGGGTAGGGCTGTCCTTGTTGGGGCTCCCCAGGGCCCCTGTGCACTCTGCGAGGCCCCAAGAAGCTGACATTTTCCGCTGGGCCGTCTCGCTCTCTGTCCAGGGTCCGTGTGCCACTGGCGGTTTGCTGAGAGAGCCCAGAGGTTGGCTGCAGAAATGCAGGTAAAGTCGGGATGAGGGGAGATGGGAGGAGCTGGAGTCTAGGCCTCCTGGATTCCAAGCCATCTTGTGGATTGGACTCATGGAATCCCAGAAATTCCTGCGATGGTCTCCTTTGAGCATTTGGGATGAGCTTGGAGAGGGCTAGCAACTCATCCTGGGTGACGGCCATTTGGCAGAGCGGGGACTCAAACCCACCAGGCCCCCTTAAGATGCCGAGGGCAGTGTTGTTTGTGCTATGGACTCCACGCTTGGTCACCTCTCCTTCCCTCTCCATGTACAGTTTGGTCCCTCTGGATTTCAGGGGTGAGGGTGGGCCAGACTCTGGCCAGCACCTCGCAGGGCCTCCTTCCCATTCTGCCCTCTCTCCAAGCACCAAGCTCAGGGCCGAGAAATCCCTGCCCAAGCACCAGAGATGCCACGATCTCCTCTGTCTCTAGGCAGCCATGGTTGGCCTTTGTCTCCTGGATCACAAAGAACCAGGCCCCCTTTGCTCTCAGTGTCATGCTATAATCAAAGCCAACCGCTTCCTGGGAAGCAAGAGCAACAGCTGACTGCCACATCGTCCCCAAGGTGCCCACCTCGAGGGGTCCTGCCATGAGACCTGGATGGGAGGACCCTAACGAAGAGAAACAGGCAGCTCTCGCTGAGTCAGGAGCCGTTCTGAGGCCCCCCAGCCCCAAACCTCACTGAGTGGCTGCCGCACTCCTACAAGGTTCGATGCTACAGATGAGAAAACCGAGGCGCAGAATGTTGAAGGGACATGTCCGTGGATAAACCTATAGCCTGGCTCCAGGCCCTAAGCCCTTAAATGTTCTCCTATCCTGCCTCTAATTCCTAGGAGTGCTCCACTAGAGGTCATTGTGTCCAATCCCCTGCATCTGGGTGTCCGCCCAGGCCAACCACTGCTCACAGACAAGAATCAATCTTGTTTTTTAAAGGCACCTGCTCCAAGGGTGGAATTTCCCCTGGGGGTAATCAGACATTTATTTATTCATAGCCTTCTGGCTGGGAGCAGAGTCCCTCCCACCCAGAACTCACCAGGGTCCAGCTGCCTCACCACCTCCCTCCTTCCCACTGCGGCGCAATTAGAAATGAACCAGCCTTGCTCATGTCTCGGCTCTATAACCTTCAGACTGTGTGGGCCTGGACAAGTGACTCGACTTCTCTGAGCCTCCGTTATCAACTGAACTGGGGTTAATGGCGCACCTGCTTCGTGAGGTTGATGAGGATTGAATGTTAAAAGGGGATGGAAAGACTAGACTTTTAGGAACCATTTCTATATAGTTTCTTACTGGAGAAATTTCTCTGAACGTACGGAACACCGGAAACCACGAGGAGGTGGCGTGGCGTTCCCTCCTAAGTGCGAAGCGAGCTCTTGGTGTTGCTTCTGCAACTATCATTTGCCATTGGTGACTGTTCTTCTCTTCCCTTGGGAGAGTAAGAGGGAGGGGATGCTGTCTGAGTGGCCTCCGTTGTAGTTAAAAAAAAAAAAAACTGAGTAAAGACCAGAAAAGGGTTAGTGGTTACAACTCCGGGCATCTACGAAGTGTTCAGGATGGAGCAGTAAATACTTATCACCACCATCATCATTACCATCATCATTATCACCATCGAAACGCCTCTGGCTGCAAGATCAGGGCCTCCAGCTCTTGGCCTTATAGTTTAACCTCCTTATTACAGATAGGGAAACTGAGGCCCAGAGTGGGGGACTTATTGGGGTCACATAGTAAATCGGTGGTGGAGCAGGAAGCAGCTCTCAGTCCCCCTGATTCCCACTTAGATCCCTGTCTCCAACAGTTCTCCTCCGGCGTGCCCGGGGTCGGGCCCTGGCACCCAGTCCGCCAGGCAGAGCCCAGGAGAGAAGTGAGCAGCGCTGGGAGCAGTAGGCGCAGAGGCCCAGCGCATTCTCAGCCCTGGCTCTTTGTCTGCCGCTTTGTGATGGTAAGTGCTGCTCCTAAATCAGTTCTGTGACACTGTTATTGTTGCCCAGGGTGCAAAGAGTCTAAACTTTTCCCCTGAGGTCAAGAATGTGGCCGGTCCCCAAGCCGCCTGGAGCAGGGGCCTAGGTGGCTGGGGGTGGGGCCGGGGCCTCACCCTGAGCTGGGGCGAGATGTGGGGGGGAGGGGGTCAACAGGAACAAAACACTTTGAAATGCCTCCTCTCCATCACTGCCAACATTGTCCGCTGCCCGCGGGGGGCCTGGCACCGCCTCGCCGGGGCTCCGGCCCCCAGCCCTGTCCAGGCCCGGCCGGCATCTGAAAATGGACAGAAGGTTATTGTCCCTCCTCGCGGCCCTTTGTCTGCCCCAGTTCCAGATGTCTAGGCTGGGACCAGGGAGCTGACCCATGGTGGGCAGGGGGGTGGGGACAAAAGGGGAGAGCACGGGTCACTGCGTCCTGAGGGGTCGTTCCCAGACCCTGAGATCCCACCCAGCCACGGCCCAGTCACCTTCTGGGCTGTCTCAGCCCTAGGATTGTCCCTGTTCCCTTGTCCTTCCTACCCTACCCTTCCAGCAGACCAGGTCCAGCCTCAGGAGAGAAGGCCGCAGGGGTGCAGGCGTTGAGAGCTGGGTACCTTGGGATCCCCATAGCTCTACCTGGTAACTCATCTCGAGCTAGTTGTGCCTCTCTCGCAGCCTGCCGTCTCTGTGTAGGTGCCACCGGACCAGGTTCATTCATCAACAAAGTGACGACAGAGCCCTCTTATGTGCCAGCTCCGTGCTGGGTGTGAGGATGTACAGTGGTGGGTGGGCCACTCCAATCCTTCCAGATTGTGGTTGATGGTTCTGACAGTGAGAGGTAACATCCCCACCCACCTCTTCTGTGTCGGGTACTAGGCTGACCAACTTTACCTGCATTATCACATCCTTTTCACAACAAAACTGAGGATCTAGTAGGTACCGTTCTTATATCCATTTTTCAGCTTCGGACACCAGAACTCTGAGAGGTAAAGTCTCTTGCCCAAAGCCAAGCTGCCAGGAAGCGGCAGAGCTGGGATCCCAGCCCAGGCAGACAGCCGCCACCGAGAGGAATGATTTTGCTAATAAATACTTGGAAGGTGTTGAGTGTAGAGCCTGGCACAGCACCGGACTCGGCCTGCGGGAGCCAGTGGTGGTGTCAACTCCACCGCTCTGTTTTCCGTTTTCCCATTTCACAGATGGTGCTGCTGAGGCCCAGGGAAAGAAACCGCAGTGAGGGGAATCTTAAATAGCAACACCAATGGCGATTCCGGAGCCGCAGGGCCAGCCGGAGAGAGGCAGGCAGTTCCGTTTCAAACGCCAGCTCTGCGTGGGCTTGGGCAGGCGGTTCAGATTCCCACGCCTCGGTTTCCTCCTCTGTAAAATGAAAAATAACATTCCCTGCTTCACAGGGTTGTTGTGACAATTGAGTTAGATTATACATATAAAGCATTTAGCACCATGGCTGGCACACAGCAGTCAGTTAAGGATAACTGTTGTTATCAGGCCGAATGGAGTGGCCTTTATCCCTTTGAACCTTCCTCTCACCTTGGGTCACCTGAGGACAAGGCTCTGTCTAAGGGAAGGGGGGCGGCTTCGCAGTTGTTGATGGAGGTGGGGGTAGCAATGCTCAGTCTTCTCGGAGTCTCTAGAAGCCTCGTGACAGGCTGCTCCTAAAAAAAAATGGGCCCAGAGGAGTTAACAGCTCCCAGGCGCTGGCCCAGCAGGGCTGCCACGCTGCAGCCCAGCCACAGCAACGGTTCCAGCAGAGGAGCCAGGACTGTTTCCTGATGGTCAAAACAGCTGGCTGCCTGGGGAAAACAGCTGGCCCAGCCCCAGCCTCCTAAGGACAGAGGCAGAGCCTCAAAGGACAGCTCCACTTCTGGGGTCCTGGCAGAGGAAGGCATAGCCAAGAGGGAGTCCTTTGGAGTGGGTGTGGGCGTTGGGTGGGACCACGGGAGATGAGAGCTTGTGGGCAGATTCCTGGAGCGGAGGCCAAGGCATGCTGGGTCTAAGCAGACTGCGCAGGGTGACTCCAGCTGGATTTGGGGGTCTCCGTCTCCCCTCAGATAAGAAAGATGAGGGCCAGGGGAGCAGATGGGGGGGCAAGCCTGCACTCAGCCCTGGGTCCTCTGGGTACCGGGCTTGGAACCTGAGGTGGGAGGGAGCCCAGACAGGAGAGGCTCCCGGACTCCTATCTGCGGAGCTGCACCCAGGACCAGAAGCGGGGCATGGGCGCCTCCTCTGGCCAGGATCCTGGGCTCCTTTGGCTTCAGAGCAGGACGGGCCCAGAGAGCCCCCAACCCAGGAGACGTGAAGCTGGCAGCTGGTAAGAAAGAGCTCCATCCAAGCATCCCTTCAGCTGTAGGTGCCCATTCCCTGCCTGCTTGGCTGCCAGGCTATGAGGACCCCCAACCCTGGGGCTCGGTCTGGGCCCTGAGGTACCTCCTGGTCTCCCCCACCCGCTGGCAGGGAAGCGGCACCTGAGACCTCGCCTGAGGTAGGGCAGGGTAGGCAGGGGGTTGGTTAATGGACGTGTGGCCAGAGTCCACCAGACCAGAGTTGCCTGCCTGGGCTTCTGACCCCAAGTGCCACAGAACAGACACCCCCAATTTCTCTCTGACCAAGGGGTGTCCTCTAGCCCACCTTCCTAACCTCCAGGAGGAGGAGATTGGCTGCTACCTTGGGTGTGCCAGCCTCAGCACGCCTGTCTCTGATGAAGACCACCCTGCAGAGTCTTTGCCAGTGGGCAGGGCTTGGGGCTGAGGCTCCCAGTGCGAAGAAGACACTGGGGAGGGGGACAATTCTGGGGTCTCTATTTCCTAATGCCAGAGTGAAGCCTGAGGCACTAGCGCCACCACCTGGCTTAGGCCAGAATTACAATGTGGGGGCCGAAACCCGGAGCTGGATGTTGGTCCAGGGCGGTCTGGGTCCTATTCAGACAGATGGGTCCAGTTTTTTTCCAGGCATCACGTGACCCTGAGAAAGAGGCCTTAGGCCCTACAGAACAGCAGCTTCGAACTTTAGCCTGCGTCAAAATCACCAGGAAGGCTCCTTGGTTTAACCTCCACTCCCAGAGTTTCTGATTCAGTAGACATGGGGAGGGGCTTAGGAATTTGCATTTCTAAAATTTCCAGTTGAGGTTAATGCTGGCTGGTTCAGGGACCATACTTTGAGAACCACTGCTTTATAACTACTGTGGATCTGGCCCAATATTACCTTTGTAGAATGTGCCTTATTATATTTGGGACAAAAAAAAAAAATAAGTGTAAGTGGGAGTACAGGTACTTGATCAACCCACCTCTGCAGTGACCTCATCATATTTCTACTGAGAGCCCACCCTACACCTGGCTGTCCCTGCTCTAGGGCTGCTGATATAATAATGGTGAAGGAGGCGGACAGGTCCCTGTCTCAGAACTCACGGCTAGTCAGGTCTGGCCTGCCATCTCTCTGCCAGGAAGAGTAAAGGGGGGCTCAGAATAAGGTCCAAAGCAGAACCCAGTTTACATCCCATTTCTCAGGTCTTCATTCAGTAACAAGCCCACCATCCAGCCCGGTTGCAAACCCTATGGGTCACACTGATTCCTCGCTCCATCTCCCACATCTAATCCCACTATGTACTTTGACCCTGCCCACTGTCATCTCTCCCTGTACGAGGGACTCCTGGCTTCATCTTTGCCCCCATAGTCCACCCTCTGAGCTGTGGCCAGATTAATCCTTTAAAGACTAATCATCTACGGCCATGCCACCCTGAACATACCTGATCCCGTCTGATCTCGAAAGCTAAGCAGGGTTGGTTAGTACTTGGATAGGAGACCACCTAGGAAGACCAGGTACTGTAGGCGTAAAAAAAAAAAAAAAAACCTTTTTAAAATAAAGGCAAATCATGTCACTCCTCTGATTACCTCCGCCAATGCCTCTTTATTTCACTTTTTAAAAAATTCAAACTCTTGCCATGGCTTCAAGGCCCTAGGTGGTCCTCAGCTCTCTTCACACTCGCCTGACTCACTTTGCTCCAGCCGCCCTGGCTCGTCTCCACGGCAGAACTTTGGCCCCATCTGCTCCCTCCATGTGGAACACTCTTCCCCCAGAACTGCCCTTGGCGGGCTCCCCTTACGCGCTGTGATGTCTTCACTGACCCCTTGACTCGACGTTACTTCCTACCTCCAGCTGCTCTCTGTTCTTATAAACTTGTTTTATTTTGTTCATAGCACTTAACCATTCTTCGAAACTATTAATTTATTAGTTGCTCGTTTCCTGTTTGTCTCCTCTTAACAGAATGTGAGCTCCCAAGGAGCAGAGATGGTCTGTCTGGGGTACCCCAGGACTTAGAATTCTACTGCACCTAGCATGTACCCCATAAATACTTGCGGAATGAATGAGGTTATATTGGATGCCATGTAGGCGGATATGCCCATAGGAAGGAAGTTTGAGCTGGGACTGGAGGGCCTGTAGGGTTTGGCCAGAAAGACCAGTTCAAGCAGACGAGCAAAAACGAAAAAGGATGTGGGAAGGTCCTAAAGTGTGGAGTGTTCTGGAAACTATACATAGTCCAGTTGGCTGGAGCCAGAGATTGGGTGGGAGGGGAGGTCAGAGGAGTTGGGGATGCATCGGGCAGGCCGTGCAGGGCCTTGCTGCCCCTTACGCGGTTTGAGCTCTATGCTGAGGGTGACGGGTAGCCCCCCCCATCCCCATGGAGGCGTTCATGCCAGGCGTTTTAGAAAGGGCCGGCTGAGAATGGTTTCCAGGGCGAGGGCCAGGGTGGAGAGGGGCTGGGAGGTGCGGAAAACGAAAAAGGATGTGGGAAGGTCCTAAAGTGTGGAGTGTTCTGGAAACTATACATAGTCCAGTTGGCTGGAGCCAGAGATTGGGTGGGAGGGGAGGTCAGAGGAGTTGGGGATGCATCGGGCAGGCCGTGCAGGGCCTTGCTGCCCCTTAAGTGGCTTGAGCTCTATGCTGAGGGCGACGGGTAGCCCCCCATCCCCATGGAGGCGTTCATGCCAAGCATTTTAGAAAGGGCCGGCTAAGAATGGTTTCCAGGGCGAGGGCCAGGGTGAGGCAGGGCACATGGGGTGGGGAGGGGCTGGGAGGTGCGGCAGAGGGGAGGGGGCCAGAAGGGGTCAGGTGAGTGGTGCTGACACCCTGAGCCAGGCGAGTGGCAGTGCAGAAGAGGTGGTCACGTGCAGGAGACGCTGAGGAGGTGATTTTGCCAGGATGAGGTGATCGATGGATTGGGCTGAGAGGAAAGGATGTGTCATCAGTGACACCCAGGTCTCCAGCTCTAAGCACTGGGTAGGTGGACGTGCTGTTCCCTAGAGCAGGGAGGCCACTGGAGGGGAACCAGGTTCGGGGGAAGATTGAGGTTCCGTTTTGGACAAATGGAATTCAGGTCCAGGTGGGCAGTTGAGACGCATGTCAGTTTTCCAGAAACAGGAACTGGTCCATGCGGCCAGCTGCAGAAGAGCCCTCGTGGATGAGGAGGAAGGGTCCTTTGGGAGGAGTGGCCAGGAGGATGCTGGTCTTGGCTGGAACAGCCTTGGTCTATGTCAGGTGGTAAATGGAGATGAGGAGGCGATACAGGGAGCAAAGCACAAGACCCGCCCCCAGGAGGTTTGGAGGGAGACAGGTATGGCAGCAGCTGGGGGCCGGCAGGCAGCTTGGCGTTTTTGTATTTTAGGTTGGAGGAGATTCCAGTCCTTTGAAACGTCAAAGGAAGGATCCGGAAGAGAGGGCGGTTGGCGATCCAGGAAGGACAAGGAGATGGCATTTGGAGCCCGGGAGAGGTTCCATCGTGAGGAAGGAGTGCGAGTGCCTCTCCCACTGTACCTTACGGTGAGAGGAGAAGCCAGCTTAGGGCAGAGGGTGGAAGGTTTGGAGGCTGGAAATGAGAGTTCCCAGGCAATAGCTTCTTCTTTTCCTCCAAAAAGTAGCAAGGAGAGGCCTTAGGTTTTTCATTGCAAGGCCTCTGGCCAGGAAGCAGCCCCACCTGAAAACTTGCACTGGGGCCTGGTGGGGGCTTTGGAACCAGGACTCTTGGACTCCAGGGTCCTCTGCCCCCTCATCCTGCCCCATCACTAGGCAAGTCCGTTCTTTGCTGGGCCCTCATCCCTCCTTTCCCAGTGCAGATAGTATGCACAGGCTTAGCCTCCCCATGAATCCAGGAAGAGGCTGAAGAGTGACGGAAGGGGAGCCTGGCTTTCTCTCCAGCCCTGTCTTCCAGCCCTAGGAATTCTTGGGGCCAGGCTCCATGCAGTGGAAAAGCTTCTAGTGCGTTCATTTTCTCAAGGAATCCTTGCAACCTTCCCCCTCCCCTCCTTCCCAGCCAAACGAGGATCTGAGGCTCAGGGAAACTGACCTGCCTGAGGTCAGTGGCAGATGTATCTGGAACCCATCATTGGTGCCTCCAGGCCCCTCCCCTTTCCTGCTTTCTAAGAGAGGCTGGAGACCCCTTTCCATCTCAGCATGGCCTAGAACCCAAACTTTGCCCCCTGCCCCCGGGGAGATTGCTTTGGTGGGGAGGCTGGGACACCGTGAGGGGCTGCCCCCTTGTTCCGCACTCAGTCTAAGACTGGGCTGTGCTCTCTTAAAGGGCTGGAGCAGTGCCGGTGCCGGCGACAGAGGCGAAGATGATGACGCACGGGGGACGCCAGGCTCGGACCGCAGTGGAATGGCGCGCCCAGGTCAGGGGGACCCCACTCCTTGTTCCCCAAGCTGGTCGGTCTCACTCTCAGGCCCACGCGTTGCCTCGAGGCTCTGCGAAGTTCCATCTGGGTCCGCCAGAGGGCGCCCCGGGACGGCGGAGGGGGCGGGCCGGGGAACCGGGAAGGGCGGTGCGGGGTCAGTGCTGCTCCGCGGGGTGGGCGGCTGAGGTCCGAGGGTCGGACCGAGGGCCAGGGAATCCGGATTCAGAGGCGTCGGGCGCAACATGAAGCCGGATTCCGGGGGTTGCTCAGACCTTTGGAGTGGCGCGTTCGCAGACGCCCGGGCAGCTCAGATGCCGTCACCCCAGACCCTCCCCTTTAACCCCCTTTCCCCCTCCAGCGTCCAGTCCGGAGGGGGCTGCTCCCGGGTCGCGTCTGGGGCGGGTCGCCGGGTCCTGGCCCTGCGGTGCCCCTGGCCGAGGAGAAGACACTTGAGAACTCTCGTGTAGG